AAAAAAAAAAAAAAAAAGGAACCGTGGTATTGCAATCACGAGCTTTCTTGGTTTTGTCCTAGAGACAGGGGCTGCAGCAACACATTGCATCTTTGTCTCGTTATTTTAGCATGTGCGTGCAAGAGGGGAGGAAAAAAAAAAAAAAAAGCGCTGAAAATTATTCAGGCATAATGTACAATAGACATAAAGAGAGACAAAAAGAGAGGAAGAGAAAGAGGGGAAGGAGTGGCGCCTCCGCTGGTGCGCAGGTATCCCGTCGCCCTGCCTGCCCTCCCCTCCTTTATCTCCCACCCTCTCCCCTGCCACGGTCTAGGGGGTCTGGCGCGTCTCCCCGGCCTGGCCTAGACCCGGCCTGGTGCGAGGTCGCCTGTGGGGAGAGGGCAGCGGTGCTGGGCCGCAGTTCTTACGGGTGGGGGTCGGGTTTGTGGCCGCTTCCCGGGGCGTGTGCTGCACGGTGGCCGCTTCCCGGCGCCTCTGTCGCCGGTTTGCAGCTCCTGCCCGCGGGCTGCAGCCGTCTGGGAAGTTCTCCAGCGCTGCTGGCCGAGGAGATGGCGGTGCTTGGAGTCAGTAGTTGGTTCCGCTGGATCAGGGATGTGGTAGAACAAGTACGGAACTGACGTGAGTTTGACGATGAAGAGCTGTCCTTGTACTTTTTTCCTAGTGTTTTCTATCGTGTGGGGCGGTTTTGATACCCTGAATTGAACACTTTTCTTAGAAGCTTCTCTGATTTAAAGCATTCCCTTTAGCTGCTTAATTCTCCCTTGCCAGCTGTGCTAACACACCTGTACATAGGCTCCTGCTGTAAACCGAAACACTGAACTAATCCTTTCACTGGAGAGTTGCACTGCTTCTGCTGCACAGCCGACCGCACCGCGGGATTGTAAATCAACGGGGGAATGTAGGACAGAAACTTTTTTTCCTTGAGCTTTCTCAGTCAAGCCTCTGTATTACCAACCTCTAGCAGCAGTGTAGACTGGGTTTTTTTTTGCAAGAACAGCATCAAAACCTGCCAGCAATGAAATCGAAAACTCATTTAGTTTTAATTATATTATTTGCATATTATTGTAGAGCTGTGGCGCCTGTTGCCAAATTCTACTCTTTCAGTGTGTCATATAAAATATTAATTCACTAATGTTAAGTATACAGTGAACTTTTGGACATGATCTTCTTTCTCGTTTGCTTTTGTTTCTCTTTTTTTATATTTCTGGGAGGTCAGACTTCTTTAATAGCTATGTCGAAATCAGCCATACAATCATTTTCTGAGCTTTAAAACTTTAAGATTTCAGGGTTCCATAACTATCAGGTGAGGTGTATTTACTGCTCCTTAGAAGGAACTTGAGCTGTAATGTTGCCTTAAAGTCACAGACAACTGGGAGCCTGTAATGCATGATGTATTTTCATAGCATAGCTACTCTGGTTGCAAATTGAAGTGTTTGCTGAAAGTAGCTCACTTGTGCCTTGTAATGCATTCCTACCTCTTATTTTACCCTAGTGCTACTCTAACTTCATGACTAGACAATTTTGAAAGCTAAACAAGAAGGAAGCGAACCTATTTTTTTGTAGTCACTGATGTGACCCCTTAAACAAGTTGTGATGCAGAAAGATGAAGTTGCACAAAACAGCAGGGCATGAGACCATGATTGCCTTTTTTGGTGGTATCTCTCCGTTAGTTTGATGTTACAGTTAGAGCTGTGTCCTCACTTGAGCTGAAGGATTATGGGGAGTTGTAATGAAGAAATTTATTTGAAGAAACACTGTGAATATTTTATCTGTTTTTCTGGATCAGGTGGAAACAATGGACGATGACTTTGAGGCTTCCTCCTCACCCTTCTTTCTCACTGAAAGCTTGGAGATGGCAATGGAAGTGGAGAATGAGAACTCAAAGCCACCTTGTTTTTCCTGTGCTTTTGACAACCAAAATGGAGGGAGAAGCTTCTCTGCAGAGTCTTATTTAGCAAGTGGGTCTCTTAAGAGGTATGGGCTTTTTTTGAGTTACAAATGTAACATACTTCTAACATGCACTTTTCACTGGTGTTTGGTGTCTCTAAATGCTGACAGGGTTTACAAACCTGGAAGCCAAGGACAGGTTGTTCTTCAGCCCTTATGATCCTGACATCAACTTGGTGGTATATCAAATTGGCAAGGGCAATAGTATTGATGCACTGCTTTGAACCATGTTCTAGGTCCAGTTCCTAGCTTTGTGAACTTACTTTCAGATACTATAAAGGACCTCTTACAGGTCTGTTAGGATGCTCCAAAACTGACCTGTTGGTCAACAACATCTAAGACCCCTTAAATTTCTGAGGAGGTTGCAGCACTGCTTTTTCCAGTCATATGCTCTATTCAGTGCTGACCCTTTCTCTCTTTTCCATGTGATAGAAACAAACCTGTTCTTCCCAGCTTCCCCACATCACCAGGACTGTGCTTTGTAGCTTTAAGACCATCTTTTTCAAAGCTCTACCTTTCCATTCATTCTGCATTTAAGGTTTAGAAGTCACACGAATAACGCATAAGTATTTTCTGTGAGATTCTAAAACATTACTTTGGTTTAGTTAATACCTCCCTCGCTGTCTGTGATCCAGCTTAGTTTTATGTGCCATTTACTGAACCTTCAGATGTCTTTCCGACAAAAGCGCAATCTTTAAGTCTGTCCTCCTGCCAAGCCTCATATTTTGTGTTGTTACTTTGGGATATTTTAACCTTCATTTCCACAGCCTTTTCTGTAAAGCCTTAAAGGGGGTTCTGCTGCACCTCCCCCATGCCCTACCTTATATATCTTTTGTTGTTGTTAATGGATCACAGCACATTCATTCAAATTGCTGTCAAGCAGAGGATTAAGACTCTATCTACATAAACATATTATTAGTGGCTTCCAAGCTGGCAAAGAAGGATTTCATAACAGAAACAATTTAATGTGAAAACTCACTCAGGAGCTTGTACGTAAGCAGGTTTCCCAGATCACTACAGTCATACTGTTCTCCTGTCATTTATTCACCTTATCTACTTGGATTTTAAATTCTTGGAAAAGCCTCTATGTGAAGGACTCCTCTGTCTTCATTATCTAGAACAAGAGTAACTGGATTTAATTGCTAAAGGCTTCAAAACACACCAGTGTTTAGGCATTTGCCAACTGAACTACAGGTGTTATGGGAGATTGAACTGATTATTCAGCAGATGTTCTTTTTGCTTCTGAGAACTGAATTGTTAATAGTGCATAGTTCAAGAAGAATATGAATTTGGTATGTAATATAATGAAAGCCAAGTGCTTGCCCAGTACAATTTTTTTAATTTTTAAAAATAGAAATATTTCTTAGTGAATTCAGCTTCATCTACAGTGAAGTGTTTTGACAGGCACTGGGAAAATTCTGTAATAATTTGCTTTGATACCTTTGTGGTGGTGGTGGTTGTACAGCTTGCTTGCTGTGATTTATTTATTTTTTTTTCTTTTTTTGGGGGGGGAAGAAATTAATTGATAATTTTTATATTTGCACAATTAGTGATTCTATTTTTTTTTATTTAGCCAGAGTAAAGGGTTCTCATCAGTTCACCTGCCTAAAAGTGTGCTTTTATGAATGTGCTTTTGTCAGTGTTAATATATAAATATTATAAAATGGTTATAAAGGAGCAAATGTATGTTCTAACATTAGTTATTAGGCATGTAGTGTACATTGAGATAGATTCCAAACACACACTTACAGTGGAGCATGTTGTCTAATGGAGCAGCCTCTTCTGTTAAGGACAGTCTGTATGTTATGTCTCAGCCCCTTTTTAAGGATGAAGATGCTTCAAGGTGGTAGCTTGTTAATTTTTATTTGTTTCTAAAATATACTGTGCCCTGTGACTATATCATGGTTTTATGCTCTTGAAGCTAGGAGTTGTTATATTTTATGTGCTCTATATTGCTATAAAAGGTATAACAGTCTGTCTTTCGAAAGCACTGCTACTCCTTCCTATCTATAGTACACATGTTGCTGATACGTTGATATCAATGGTACATAAGCCGGCTGTAGGTATTGTATTCTATAGGTTTATTACTGGGAAAGGTATGAATGTTGTTGGTTCTGTTTTACAGGGTTTTGCTGAGACTAGATCCTTCTCCAAATGACTATGATGAAGATGTAGTGGAAATGTTTGGCTTTCAGTGGGTTACTGAAATGGCCTTAGTTGAATCATGTGAACTTCTCTTTGGATTACTTAGGTATGATAATATTAGTGTATTTTATAATTAATCCACTTCTGTAATTATACCCACCTTAAGGATGTAGCAAACTTTTAAAATTTTTGGTGGTAAAATCATAGAAGATTGTGGGCTATGCAGTGCATCCAAAAAGATTATGCCATATACCTAACACTCCAGTAAGTGATGGATAAGACAAGGCAGAATTACAGGAAGAAGTAAATTTTGTCACAGACTTTTAATATTATGTGACTTCATAATAACTTTCTAAGCAGTGTGGTGCATATCTTAGCCATCACCAGATAAAAATTGATAAGTATAGTTATTACAACAGTGTTGTGATTAATTTAGAAGGCTCTAGCTTCAGAATATATGAATAAACTATATAAGTTTTCCTTGAATGAGATTGTGCTACCCATATAATTAAAGTTGTCTTTTGAAGATAAGTCCTTTTTTGTGCATAAAGAAAAGTCGAGGTTAAAAATCAAATACTGTAAATGCTGGATGCAGCACTTTCTTCAATTGTTTGGATTAGGATAGCTTCAGCAATCTCTTCAGATACAGTTACTCAGTGTTTGACTAATTCAATGTAGATGTTTAATCTAGTCAATGCAAATACACAGATCACCGATAATCCTCTTTGCTACTGATAATCCTCAGAATGTACAGCACATACAGAGAGTAGATGGGAGAGAAGCTTTTGTATGATTCCATGAATATATGTGATATATTCCATCATTCCTTTTATTGTAGTGGATTCTTCCATCCCTTTAGGGTATGACCAAGGGCGTGATATGAAACATTATTAATTAATAGTGTCTGTCTTATTGAAACACAATGGCATAGATGGCAGGAAGTCTATTAAAATCAGTATTATTTAGGCATGTTTGTTTGATGCAAACTTTGACTTCACTGTAATTAAAAAAAAAAAAACAAACAACAACCTAAAACTGATAATGAAGGAGATAGGAGGATAACTTAGTTAAAAGAACACTGTATCCCTTTCAGCACTTAGTGTGATCTGTTTAATAACTGTTTATTAACATAAAATCAGTGGGCAGTAAGAGACCACTGTAGTTGATATGTTGAATTAAATATATTTTTTCTGTAAAATAAAGTGCTCTGTAATTGTAATAGAAATGACCATAAGGCATAATATATTTTGTTGTAGTTTTTAAGTTATTCAACCTATACATGTTTTAAAACCTGCTGAACTGGTAGGAATAATGGATTTCAGCTAACTCTTGGCTATGAGAGTTTGGTTGCTAAATTGTCTTCTGGTGTGACAAGTCCCGCTCTAAAGATATTCTCTCTTTCAGTTCATTTGTTCAGTCATAAAATGGAACACTTTCATTTATAGACCAGTTGACAACTGAAAGTGGGAAAACTCCTTTTTTCGTTGTAGAAGTCATATGTGTTAAGTACAAGTTGGCTGTAATAGTTCAATTTATGAAGTACAGATATCTATGTTTAAATACATGCTTACAGAAACCTAGTCTTTTGTTAATGTGTCTGTAAATACTAAATATTGTTTAATATTTTAAAATATTGTAATAAATAATATACAGCAGAACTAGAAGTTTAAAACATTAATTGTGCAGTAATAGGAATTACCTTATGTAATTGAAGATGTGCAAGTCAGTGAGTAAGATGTAACCATCTAAGTGGATATATTAAACCAATATATCTTGGGCTGAATAATAAACAGAAGTACCAGTTTAACTGTCAGAATATTTATTTGCAAATCAAATGATTTAATGATTAACAACCATGAGAATCAATCTTTAAGGTACAAATGCAAATTGCAATTAAAATTACTTATTTAACTGATATCTTTGTTATGCTTTTCATAACCAGTTCGTGCTTTTATTTTATCAGCCTACTGTATTCTGTGTTTTGCCAGTTCACTAGAGAATGGTGTGGGGTTTTTTTTTTTACAGTGTGGCTTCCTTCTGACACTCTCTCCCTAACCTTCAGCCTCAACCCTCTTTCATACAGTTCCTCTGCTTTAGGCTTCCTTCTTTTCTACATAGTTGAAATACTTAAAAATTTACACAGAAATTCAGCTTTGATTTCAATATAAAACAAAAAAACCCCACAACCTACCTAAATGACTGACGGTAGTCTTGGGTAGCTGACATGATTTTATCCAAGGAAGGAAGAGCTAAGGGAGAGCATTTTAATGTGTTCCTGCCCATTTAATATGCAGGTTACAACTTGGGTTTTTGGATTCTTGTGGGCACTTCATAGTTTCCAGATTTATTTTTTTTTTTCCATAAGAACATTTGATCTGGGTTGGTTCCATGTATCCTGTTTTTGAATCCTTTAGTAGTTGCTACTTTCACTGTATAAGAAGGTGGAGAGCTTCTTACTCAACTTATGCAGCATTGTATTTCAAAATTCTGTCTTCGACAGTTGCGCTTTTAATGTACTCGGTTTAGTACCCTGTTGTATCTGGATACCATACTTGAAGACCACTTGAAAATAACAGTTGTTGCAGAATGTGGCTGTTTACCTATGTTACAGCTTTTTAAAATTTTCATTTGCAGTGGCAGTTAGCAGCTGCTTTAAAAATGTTCTCTCCTCCCACCAAAACTGATCTGAGTTTTAACTTTTCTAGAGACACTTTCTCCTCTTACTATACTATTTTGTTTATCTTTTGTGCTCAAGTTAAGCAGCAGACCACACTAAGCGGGAAAAGGTGCTGGCAGAATTTACTAGTGCTCATTCACAAGTGAATTAGTGTATACTGGTTGTATGCAATGAGGGCTAACTTTCATGTTTATTCTGTGGTCATATATGAAGTTGAGTTACACTTGTAGAAAGATCACTTACAGGGAATGGCGCTTGGGGGTTTTGTGTGTGTGGTGGTTTTTTTTCCTCCCCTGATATTTAGCCATTTTCGTGTTTGTAATTCTGTTCAGTGTGTTAAAAACAAGCAAAAATTCTGTCCATTGTCATCTTGTCACACTTGGATGTATCTGTTGTATTCTGCTAATACTCTTTCCAAAGGTACATTTCTGTAAGCTTTTTCAGAAATACAAAGTGAGAAACACCTCTCGCCTCTCTGTTCTATTTAGACCTTACTAAAATGTAATTGAACAACTTTTACCTATATAAACACAATAAACCTCTACATTCCTTTAATTAGGCAACAGATACACAGACTGGAAGATCTGGTACAAATGAGTTCATCTGATTTTGGTAAGTTTAACTCATTTAATTTGACATTGGGATGGGTATTTGACTACCTTTTCGTTATAGAAGTGTATTGTCACAGGTCACACTTGTGCTCATGGACCGAGCAGCAAAACAGTATATCACCAGCATAAAACTGCTGTAAGAGTACAAATATAGGCAACCAAGTCATGTATAGTAGTATGAAAATAGAGAGTGGAAATTTGAGTCAGTTTGGAACGAGAGCTGTCTGTATAGTAGGTGAATAGGGCAATCCTGACCTTAGTGGTGAATTTCACGTTAATTTGACTTGAGATAAGATGTCACTCTTAAGGTAGAATTTGGCAAAACTGTCAACTCATTTAATTAAAAATGAAAAATTGCATCAAAACTCCCAATAACTATTTTAGCTACAAAGATAGTGGGTTGGGACTTTTTTCAGTATTCTTTTGGCTTACATTTAAACAAGTTAGTTATATTTGCTTAGTTGAGAGTTATTTACAAACTTCATTTATCTTTGCAGCAGAATCGATAAAATGGGATCACCACAAAACACTTTGTATCAATTAAATACTAAGGCAGGAGAAGCAGTATGTATCTGAAGGATTATTGCAGCCTTGGGCTTGTTGTAAGTTTGAAGGCTGAATCACTTAGCAAGTTGAGAAGTTCGGTAATTACTCAGAAATAAACTGTCTGTAGTATCTTCTCATTACAGATAAATTGCTAGTGTTCCAAGAGTATGATTGAATATTTTAACACATTATTATTATTATTATTTTCATTTTATATTGTCATGTTCTGCCGTTTAAGTCACTGGTCTGAATTTATCATCAAGTTTCTTTGATATGCTTTTGCTGATTATATCTGAAAAGTCTAATTTCTCTGACATTTAATATGTAAGTGGAAATAGCCTTATTTTATGTTACATTTCAACATTTGTATGGTAGCTAGACACCAAGAAACTGTTCTGTAGTTCTTTATCCCTTCGGTTTAAGCATTTGCTTTGTTCTTTTATATGTGTACTGTTCTTCTTGTCGGCAGGTCAGTTAGTAAATTAAGTAATTGTTGAATTTTATGCTTTGCATGAGACTTTCTTTGTGACTTAGACCAATTAATTAATTCACCTGTGCCTCAATTTCCCTTTTATACAAGCAGACTATTAGTAGAGGGGTGTCATGGGGATTGAAATATTTGAAATGATCAGGCAATATGATGTTAGGTATTATTGATGGCTTAGAGAAATGTGCTGTTGCCACTGTTGAAAACCGCAGTTTAGAGTTTTAGCTCAGTAAATCTTTGTTGTGCATATATGTTTATACAGATATCAATATTATACGTTTAATTTCCTGTCCGTTGTAATGAGCTTTGGAGACTTGGTACTGAGAAGTGTGTAATACGGAAGCCATATAAAATCTTTTCTTATGTTCTGTGTTGTTTTGAAAATACACGGTCTGTTCTTAACTCTCTACTATTTTATTCCACTTTTTCATTGCTCAATGATATATGACACTATGCAAAAGATTTTCTTGTGAAATACTGTAATATTAAAAATTCTACTTAAACAGAACTTTTAAGTACTTGGGCTAAAATATTTGTTATTGCTACAAAACAGCAGTAATAGCTAGAAATAGTTCCTTTACAACAAGTGATCTGAGCCTCAACCTACAGTTCATTACCGTGGCAGATCCTATGGCTTCTTATGTGGTGGGGGTGGGCTGTACACTGGAATATTGTGGTACTTGTACCAGTGGATTGTCTTCATTCAGTGAGTGCTGTGGCTCAAAAGATGTTGAGATAAAACTATTTGCGGGGTCTGTGACAAGTGGCATGTGTGAACTTCAAGGTTGCCTGGAGGGGATGGGGGAAACAAAGCTGGGAGAGAGCAAGAAAAGGAAAGGGAAGACTCCCCAGTGGCCAGCTGGGAGAGGAGCAAAGAGGGACTGCCTTTGCCTGGGCATGTGGTCCAGTGCAGCAGATGTCAAAGACTTTGCCATCCATCTCCTCTAGCACAATATGCTTTCATAGGGGCCTGCTCGAACTCCGAATTTACTGTTCACGTTTATGATGCTCTTAACAATGATTGGCACGTGCTTTAACAGCTACAAGTGTTGCAAGCTGACTGGTTGCGGTTTGTGCATATATATTATTGTGCAGTAGTTATTGGGTATTTAAATGACGATCAGCTTTGTTATGCGCTAAGTTTTTCAAATTTCAGCTTATATTAGAGAAATATACAAGACAAGGTGTGGGAATAAATAAGGAGTGATTCTCACATCAATGGCATGAGCTTCCAGTGAATCTCTGCTGTAATGATGGTGTTTGAGCTTTCAGATGCAAGGTAAGGAGGGTAATACCACACAAACAACAGCTTCAGGGAGCAAAGGAATGGAGACACTGTAGCTGCGATAGGTGGCTGAAAGAATACAGAGCTGCAGGTGAAAGGCATGCTACAGGATTGTGAGTGGACAGCTTTTAGCGTTACACATCTTAAGGCAACTGTGCAATGTGATGCTTCATAGAAAGAGAAGTTAATAAAGTGTGTTTCCAAATAAGTCCACCTGTTTAAGTCCTCCAAGATAAAAGTTTACTGAGAAATTGTTTCACACGTGTCTTTTCTGAAGGTGTCTTGAAAGCAGACAGGGATCAGGGCAGCATGGCTGAATGATTTCTTCTAACACTGATTGTTTGCCTCTGCCAACTTTCCTGAGGGACTGGCTGCCGCCTTTTCCCTCTGTATCTAGATATGCACCTGAGATAAGATAAAGAATGGATCCCTCTGGCAAGATGACATTTAGAAGTGGATGTTTGATACCAGCCACCTCCCAAGTTGTCCTCAGAAAAGCGCATGGCTTTCCAGGGGTCTGGTTTAATTACTGTGGAGAATGCATGTTACATGAATCACAGTGTGGGACCTTTCCTTTCAGCTACTTATTTCTTTTACTGCAGGTCAAGCTGCAAGCTTGCACTCTGAAGCAGAGAGCATCAGACATCAATGTATTGAGTTTTTGCATTATGTGAAAGTTTTCATCTTCAGGTGAGATTTGCACACAATTTACCAACTTATGTACTGAGCTTTGTGTAGCTGCTTCTTACCTGTTCTCTGATTGTGTGTCTGTGTGCTCAGGTACCTGGAACCCCCTAAAGTGGTAAATGATGGAATGCTCCATCCATATGAAGAATTAGAAGCACAGTTACCGTCAGTGTTGGTGGAAGAGCTTCATGCTTTGACCATGCACATCGGTCACCTTTGCGAACTCCCTAGTAGTGTCCTGGCAGCATTCACTATTCAACATCAGGCAAAGGTCTCATAATTTTTTTTTGTGTGTGTGTGTGTGTGTAACAGTACATATTGAATAAGAATTAACTTTCTTCGGGATGAGAATTGAAGTTACACTTCATGTTTTGGGTTTTTTTTACCTTTCTTAACGAAGTGCCATCCCCATGCTTGTCAAATGCAAACTGAGCTCTGGATTTTCTGTTCTTGTTTCTATATTTTAATTTTTATAGCTTTTAGAATTCTTCCTGCACTATACAAATGATAATAACAATTACAGGTAGATAAGTAGGTTTGAATTACCATAGCATGTTTTAAAAATTCCTTGGTGTTTGTCCTTATTAATGGTTAGAATTTCTTAGCCTCCCAGTAGCAGGGGCACTTTTTTAAAAATACATTCTGAAATCTGACTCAATATAGGAAAAGATCATGAATATAAAGAAGAAATATGCAGACATGGAAGCAGGCACTACAACATTAAGCGATTGTGAAGTATGCACAAATCTAAACAGTGTATACTTATAATAATTAATGCTTTCAAATCTTTTAGAAAGAAAAGGAATTTCAGTCTTGGGTTGTATAAACTAGTATCTGGAGAGGAATGATCCACTGAGAAGCATTTTGAATCTTTCTGTTAATTTAACTTCTTAGTAGGGCCACTGCTGAGCTGAGGAAAGAAACGGTAATTTCAAGTAAACTTTAAGGAAGAGATTATTTAAATTTTGGAATTATTTTAAGAGCATACAGCAGTTTGCTGCCTAATACTTTTCTGGAAGGGAAAGGATAACTAGGTGTGTTGTAATTTGTCGATCTTGAATCAAGACATTGTGTTTAAATTGTAGTTTAGATCAGATTAAAGCACCAAAATTCTCTACAGGCAGAATTATTTGTCATGAAGGTTTTCTGTTTTTCTTTTTTACTTTAACTGAATGGCATGTCTGTATGTTACAGTGTATTTTATCAGAGAGATCCGTAACATTCACTCCAGGCAAAATGTATGCCCATGTTCACGTGTCTTAGTACAGCATCCAAAATTTGCTAAAGAAATGTCAAAAATAAAGAAATGTGTGTATTTCTAATCACAGGTCTTTCCCCCATCATGGCATTTACTACACCTCCACTTGGATATTAATTGGCTAGTATTGGAAGTTCTTCATGTACTAGGTGAAAAAATGATGAGTGAGTATGCAGGGCTTTTTTTTTTTTTTAACTTATTCTTTTGCCTATGACTTACCTAGATTTCTCATCTTGATTTGTCCAGAGTCATTTACTGCCTTTGGTAGTTTTTGAACATAGTTATATTTAATGGGGTAAACTCAAATATGGTGAAGGTGGGTTCTTTGTGAATCTTCATGTAGCTCAAATTAAATGAAATAGCACCAGGAAATTGTTCTGTCAAAACTTGACCAAGGTTACAAAGTTTGTTCTCAACTGATGCTTGCAACATACTAAATATTTAATAATACACTTTTTGACATTGCAAATAAAAATGCATTTGCAGAGATCCAGAATGCATAACATTGAACAGCAATTTGATAAAAACCATGTAGGAAAAGGGTCCAAGGATGGACCAGAACAGAGAATTTATATTATTAAACTTATGCGACATGAAAATACTGGACAAAAGAAGAAGCCTCAGTCAGAGGAGCTTGTAAAAGTACAGCAAGAAAAGGGCAAGGCAGTACTTTTTTTTTTTTTAAAAAAAAAAAAGGCTTTAAAAGGGCAAAAAGTAGATTGATAAGAGTAAACTGTTTATAGAAGCCAGATAAAAAAGGTCATAGAATGCATTTGAAGAACCGAACTTCAGAGTAGTTCAGTTTGCTGAAGGATTGTTAAAATACAGAAGAGAATGTTATTTGCTTTGAGAATATTGTTCATGTCCATGCTAGAAAAATAAATCACAAAAAATGTGTGTTCTTCAATAATCGTCACTATAAGCAAAACTCTCTCCCCCTCCCCCCATTATTATATGGAATTTATATTAATAATTTATAGGAATTGCAACAGTTGGAGTAACATTGAGGTCTTCAATGAATACACTGTATGTTTAGCCTGGGTAACTGGTACTGAATCTGAACTCTTGGATAAGCTTATTTCTAGATAAAGTTCTGAGTAATAATGCAATAATCCATTTTCATGAGAGAAAGCTTGTGCTTTTTAGCAATGAAATTTACTAGTCAAGACAGTAGTACCTCTGGATATATTATCTTGTTTTGCATTCTTATGTGCCTTACAGAATTTCTTAGCTTCTCATATCATTCTGTAAAGTATGCTGAGTGGAAAATTCATGCTGCTGAGACCAGTGGCAGGATAGGGGGTTCAGGGCTTCCAAGAGTAAAATACAGGCTCGTTCCACATAACTTCTGTTCCACTGGTGTCAAGGGATGTTGAAAAGCTTGTGGGATAAGATTTTGCAGCCTTGTTACTTTACCATTTTATCTGTGTTAATGTCTACAAATGCTCAAGTTGGAATATGATCATGCCAGCTTTTTACATCAACACATCCAAAGGAAAGTGTTAGACCTCTCCAGAATTGTTTGTCATCATCTTGCATATCTGCAAAACATGTCATGATTTCAGAACATGCGCACTGGCATGTGACAAAGAGGAGCTTGCAGATAAATAAATCTTTATTCCACTGCAAAAACTGTGCCAAAAAAAGGCTGTAAAGTGCCAAACTATTTTACTGTCAACCAGAATAATACCAGACTTCAGTGTAATAATGAAAGAACTAGCTTGAACTTAGAACGGATGAACTTTCCCAAAGGAGTTTGTAAATTAAAATTACTTGCAGCTCAACATACCAATTTTAAAATATATAGAATAGAATAAAAACTTCCTGTCTTTTATTCCTAAAGTCAAACCCAGGACTAAATAGGTCTCATTTTCTTTTGTGTTTTAGGACAAGTTGTATATGCTAACCATTTCAGAAATCTAACTGGAGATAATTTAACCAGTATCAGTTTATTTGAAACACACTGTGGAAATCTCATATCTGATTTAATAAGCTTGTCCATCAACAAGTACATAAAGGTAACTTTTCTTTATATAGACATGGGCAGTTAGATGCTCGTATTGAGAGCCATATGAATTAGATATTGCACCAATGCATAGATGACTTCTTACTGCTGAGTTTTAAATGTTATGTATGGATTTATATCTCCATGTTTTAAAGAGTGTTATTTGTTAGGAGCTCAAATTGTGTTATATTTATTCATGACCATCTGGCAGTTGAATGAGAGAGTAATATTGAAATGCACTGTGTACAGAGCAGAAGTGAGTGCCACATTTCCTAAGTTCAGTGTTCCAGGTTTAATGCCAAACATGGCACAGTCTAAAAGGTTTAGAGCTATAGATGGAAGAAAAAGATCTTTTCAGACTCTCTCAACAGGAACAAAAAGAGAATAACTGTAATCCTGGCAATAAGCTAACTGGACACTTAGAGAATGTCATATTAGAGTTTATTGTTGCACAGCTCCTGTTTCTACAACCTCATCTTTCTGTTACAGCACGCTTACGTTTGTCAAGAGATAACTTATCCTTCTCTTTTCTCTTTCTTTTTCTTTCCTGCTATAGCTGCAGTATTTTTCTCACTTGTTTTGAGCACTCCAAAGCTAGAAAGTCATAATAGCTCCATACAGCAGCTAGCAAAAGAGCTCTGTAATCCTGACTGTGTCATTGTGAAACCACCTTTAGATGGGCATGTGTGATCCATGAGCGCAGGACTGAACTCTGAGAATAAGTAGCAGTGACCACCATATGATTTATGTTTTCCTGGTACAGAGACATAAAAAATGGAGTCCCCTTCTTTCATATTACTGTTGGGGGGGGCGGGGGGCAGGGGGGGCAGCTGTGCTAGCATTTGATAACTGTTCTTTTAAACTATTTTTCTGTAGAGAACTCTGTTACCTCTTAAATTTAGTTTTATCTATTAAATTATCAGATAATACTGCAACCTCCTCCCCCATGAAAAGGCAAATAGGTGAGAGTAATTTTTTTAAAAGAAGATTCAAATAGTATCTGTTGACCATTGTGCTTGTTGGTAGACTTTGAAATGTCAGATGTTAAAGTGACAGATTCATCCTACTTCTATAGAGCCACATGACAAAGAAGATGGTTTTGCCTCTGTTTTTTCTGCAGCTCTCGCTAGGCTTGGGCTGCACAGCTTGAACTAGTTCTATCTCAGATTAATTTCTGAAGTGGAGCTTGCACTTGAGCTAGATAACATCTCTTTAGCTGGTGCTTCCTCTAGTATGCATTCATTGCTATTAGCCAGTAAATAAGGTCCTTCAAAATTGTTGGAAACACAAGTGATGGCTCATTGTCAGCTCATCACTAAAACATGTCATTAAGCTTTTGGCTGAGAATATTTGGAATTTCAGCTCTTAACATTTGTGGGTGTCCTTGGAAGGAGGGACTTGAACTCTAATCCTCCAGACTAATATTTTCAGATTTGTTTCTTGGGAAGCTCTGGTAAGAAGATACTTGACTTGGATCACATACTGAGCTGATTGTGCTCTGAGATACATTTGGCAGAGAAATACATATCCTTGGATATCTTCTTCCTATTTTTCAGCAGCACATCTCTGGCACCAGAGCTCTGTTGTCCCAACAGTACCACAATTTGAGGTTATAACCATTCTTACCAAGATACTGAACTCAGGGTGTTGCAAGAGAAAATCCGGACTATGTCTAAAGAAAACAATGTCGTGGTTATACTTACTCCAACCATTATCTGTATGGTATCTTGTTTTGATATTACTAACCACTCTATCCTGGGCAGATATTGCACCTCTCCTGCAGAAGAGATCCTGCTATCTTGTAGGAAAACACAGTAGTAGATGCAAGTAGATGAAGAAACTTAGTTGCTGCAACAACTGGTACACCATGTAGAAGTCCTGAAAGTCTCACTTTGTGAGAGTGTGTCTAATTAATACTTCCATAAAATCCACCAGTGTTATAGTGCATCTGTAATAAGTAGACTGCTCCTTTCTGAGCAGTCTACTGCTTTCTTTCTGGTTTGCTCTTTGGTGATGAAACATAACCGGTGTATTTTTGAGATGCTTCAGTTTTGGGGAGTTAGTAGTTCAATAAAAATAAATTTTTTAACAGACTTTAATGGTCACACTGATGTTTATTCTCAATATAGTATTTACATAAGATTAAATCAAGTTGTTGAGAGATGACCATAGCAGATCTTTAAAAGCGTGAAGAGACATAGGCACATGAAAACCTCTAAACAGCATATGTGGAATGTGAATAATAGAATTATTTTAAATATTTCAGTCTTGATCTCTTGATGTTCTTAAATCAATTGTCAGGGCACACGCTGGCAATTTCATAGGGTAAGCAGTGCTCTTTTAGAGAGAGCAAAACAACTTATGTGTCATACTTGTAATTATACATATGAATTTATTTAAGTGTTCAGTATTTAAACCTGATATGGAGCTGTATGAGAACCGTAGTTGTAAATGTATTATTCTAAAGGCATATGATATATAAAAAGTCTATGTCCTTATAGATTACACAGATTTGAAACTGTTGGTGATATACTTCTGATTGTGAGAGTGTAGATTTTAGTTATTCATTCCTTCTTCTGTAATGTCCCTTTCACACAGCTACTGCTGTCACTTGCCATTGTATATTTTGATTTAATTTTTTATTTACACCATTAGGTTTCCAAATGCAGAAATGATTTTAAGTACCAGTGTGATGTGAGAATAGTTGTGCATGAATGGATAAGGAAGAGTATGAGGATATAAAAACTCAGGATTCATCTCATCAGATCTAGATGTCTAGGAGTTAGTAGGCTAAACTAGTCACCCTAAGTTCTTTATATTGTCAGGGAGGGATAGCAACAGTTTTTTCCTGCAGTGAGTTAGATGGATTAGTCTCTCTCAGTGCCCATTCCCCTCTTGCTTTAGCAATTGCTTTAGAGGGGTATAGGCTGATTATTCAAACTTGTAACTACTCACTGTTTAGAGATAAATTGAGTATGAGCTGCTTTCTTGCCTCTTTTCTTTTTACGTTTCTGACATAGTGTCCTTGCTGAAGGTGAAATGTGCTGAATTACGCTATTTAAGCAAAGCTTTTTCACTGTTTTTACCACCTCTGCATACAATTCAGTGGATTTGTAGGTCGTAAGAGAGAGTGAGTAAAGTTAAGTTTTGTCTATGCTATGATTATTTCAAACACAGTGCTGGTAGGTCTTAAAAACACTAAAGTGTACAGAGAATTTTTATGTGTTTAGCACTTCCTTTTGCTGTTTTGCTTATTTTGTTTCACAATTCAGGAATGTAAAACTGAAAGATGAATCACAAGAAGACTACTTTGCATTTGAAATACATCAGTCTGAGTGAATTTTGTTAAATATGGAATAGTAATCAAATAACGTACATGACTTGAAATATGCTGTTTTCTGCATATTAAAATAATGCCTTGCAGTAAATTTACCGAAAAGCAGATTTTGTGAAATGTTGTGGGAACATTAACATCCTCATGCCAACAAAAACATATTCTACTAGCATTATGCCTAGTCATTAAGGATTTTTCAGTTAAAAATAACAACAATAATAGCTATTAAATCATTTGAAATCTTTTTCTTATCTTCCCAAGAACATCAAGAAAATCTAATCAATCATTTTCTTTTTCCTACTGTCAGACAATGAATCAGTATCTATTGCAATTCCTTTTCATTTAGGCCTCAGAATCCCATTTTCATTTGATTAAATAATGTTTGAAGTGGCTTAGAAGAAGCTAAGAAATAGCACAACCTGTAACTTATGTAGAATTAGGAAACAGTCTTGTTGTACAAGAGCTGTATTTTGGATGTTAATGAAATAATGCCATTTCCAATATGTAATTGTACCTATATTATTGAACTGAAAAAAAACCCAAACAAACAAACAAAAAAAACCAACACCAAAACCCAAACAATCAAAACCAGGGGGGATATTGGTACATAAAAGTACTGGGTTTGGAATTTTCTTAATGATTGTATTGCATATTCTCTTTCAGGTGAGACCTTCTGAGGCTCTTGCTAGTCACCATTATCCCTGTACCTGCATTAAAGAATTATGGATTCTACTTATTCAGCTGCTGGACCACAGAAATAAAGGGTCTCACACAGAGGTAATGGAAGAATACAGTTACACATGCATAAATGTTATATATGCAGTGCAGTCACCAAATATTCCCAAATTGCCATGAATGCACTAGTTCACATATTTGATGATAGAACTGAGCTTCATATTTGCTTTGTGAGAACTGCATGCTAACTGTGATGCTTTAGGCTGCCGTCTTGAACGTATGTCAAGTTCTGACTCTAGGTTTGCAGTGTACTGTTTGGTTATTATTTGCAATTTATGTGTCATGTCATGCAATGATTTATCTCCAGGCATTAGAAACACAGGTACAGTCAGACCAATGATCCATCTAGTTAATTTTTCTGTCTTTGATACCCATACCTTAACTACCTATACAAGAACAACCTGGGTTTTGGTTTTGAATCTTGTAGTTGCTGACTTCTTTTGTTGTTCCCTTGTACTTTTATTGGAAGAGCCAATCACTACCTGTTCTCCTTCCTTATACCAATATAACTTTATTTGTCTCTTCAGGGTTGTTTTTCTGGTATCTCCTACCTTCTGCCTTTTCTAGGCTAAAGAGTCTTACTGTATTCAGTCATTCTTTTTATGGGTGTCATTCTATACCTGTGATCATCTTTGTCACCCTTCTCTGAACCTTTTTCTCGTAGTACTACATCCTATTTCTAATGGCAAAGTGCCATGATTGCATGCAGTATTCCAAGTATGGTTTAGGTGGCCATATGATTTTATACAGTGGTTTTCAACCTGTGGTCTGGGGACCCCTGGGGGGACCATGATATCATCACAGAGGGTCCATGAAGACTTAAAGCAGGGGTGGGGAACATCCAGCCCAGAAACATTTGGTCTGACCCGTGGCAAGCACTGTGCTTCCTTTTCCCATAGCCCCCCTCCCCTCAATGCTCCTCTCATATTCAAGTTCCTCCCCTACCTCCACACACACCTGCCCTGATGTACTAGTATATTTGGTGCTGGTATGGATGGTGGGACCCACTTTAGGCAGTTTTTCTCTTAAAGAGATTTTTCTTAACCCAGTGGCCCTCTTTAGGGCCACAGCCAGGCTGAAGTCTGTTCCTCCAAGTGGTGGCACTGGACCCGTAAGCAAAAATATATGGTGACTGAACACAGACAAACAAGGGGGAAGGTGAGAAGAATTATAAAAGCTTTTCATTAAATTTTAATGTAAAAATTGGCATCAGATTTGGAATTAGAATGTTAAAATACCATAAAATGGGACATTTGAGCAAAAAGAGTTGATGCTATTATTTTAAATTACTATGGAATCATTGCAGTAAAGATACTATAATAGGACTGTGTGCATTAACAGGTTAACTTATTTCCCCTTCTCTCCAAATTTGAAGACACTTCATGGGAAAATGGAGATAAATGTTTGGTGCAGTCTAGTGCTTTAAATCTTGAATTAAGTTTTGGTGGTCTGCAGCCACAAAAGGTATTTAAAGGGGGTCCATGGTGAAGGAAAGGTTAAGAACCCCTGATTTTTATGCATTGCATAATGATGTTTTCTCTTTTGTTCTTTTCCTTTGCTAATATTTTCTAGTGTTTGATTTTTATTTTTTTTCTTTCTTGACTGCTGTTTAGGATTGAGGTGATGTTTCTCTGAGTTAATGTTAAGTGTCAAAATCCTTTTGAAAGTTTTCTGAACTAATCTTTATAAATACCAAACCTGTCATCTGTGCAAGGAATACCCTTCACTTAATATAGAATGCAGTACTTCACAGTAGAGTGTTTGTACTGATAGCTATTTACTTGTTAATGACAACAATTATAAAGGTGGACAACACAAGTGAAACTTCCTTAGTGTTAAATGTTTGCAGTAGCACTCTGAAGTGTAAGTTGGCATCAGGACCCAGCTAAGGTGGATAAAATACAGATGCAAAGAAGTTCCATAGAGTTTCTGTATAACTAGGAAAGACAGACACAGGCTGTCAGAAGAAGTAATACTATGGTATAGACAGGTATCTGAGCCAAAGAGAAATAATCAGTTTGTCAGCACTGGAATGGTCTTGGAAAAAAACAGGGAATTTGAACCTCAGTTTGCTGTCTTTCAGACTGATTCTCTACCATCTATTGTATTCCTTTTTGTTAGGTTAGTCTAGCACGAAAAGTTTTTGAAAATTCTGTTATAAAAAGCCTTCATTAAAGAACTCTAACCTCTCTCATCTGAGCATTGGTGCACCATCCAATTTGCGTACTGTCATTCCATCAGTTTGTAATTTTGCCTGTGAAGTACCATATTCTTCCTTGTGACCAAATCTTGTCCCTTCACGTTGCTTCCTGCTGGCATTAGACAGAGGACATTCTAAAGTGGCTCCAAGTTTTCTCTGGTAATACTGAACACTGGTTTTAGTTATTTTCTTTAAATGACTTATCTTGCTTGTTCTCTGTAAAAGCAAATTAATCAATAGGACAGTATTGTCGAGAAAATTGTTAACATAGGCTTTGTTATTCAACACAGCTCAAATTTACTTTTGCATTTTCTGTAGTGTTTCTGGAGCTTGGTGAACAAAACTTTAAAGAATATATTTGAAAGGCCAAGTAGTTCTGAAACAACGTCTGTTTTTGAAACAATTCAGTGTAAAGACCCATTGAGTTTTAGCTGGTGGATTATTACTCATCTGGCATCACTCTACCAGTTTGACCGTAATGGAAATCTAGATGAAAAGGTGGGTATGCTTTTTTCTAAATACCTGTAAATAGTTATAATTTATTTATGTGTCTGAATTCACCTGGTTATGTTTTTGTTGGCAGAAATCAATTCATGTTGTAATACAGGAATCTTCACACTTGTTAAAAAAGAGGTCCTTCAAGGTTGGTGGTGTTAAGGTGTGCTTTGTACAAGTCAGTAAACATTCCAGGAGCCCCTGACATATTCATGTTATACACCAGATATTCAGAAAATTACTGTATTAAGGAAACTTTAAATATCCCAACTAGTTAGTAGCACATATACTTAATGATGTAGCATATGTTTTAAGACTGTCTGCCTGTAGCATAAATGCTTCACTGAGTTTGTTGTTTTAGGAGCTGAACACAATAGATTGTACCTCGAACACTGTGTTTTTTAAAAAGTGGTAGCTCTTCTCTGGATAAATTCCAATCTGTATAATTACATTCCATTTGCATCGCAACAATGGCATGATGAGGTGCATATATATATCTGTATACACAGCTTAATTTTCTGTGTTGGTGTGGTACCAATAGATGCTGTCTAATAACGGTTGAATTCAAGCTTCAGTTTAGGAAGTTCTGGCAGTAAGTTGCAAGACATTAGCTTTTAGAAAATGGCCTTAAATTTTCCTACTGGCTAGAGCTGGCTGGCCCCAGGTTAATCAGGTTCTTGTCTGTGAATCTCATTGTGAGGGACCTGACATTGCCATGCATTCTGTAAGGGACCTAGATGAGACCCGTACATGCTGTTCCTATAAGACCTGTGGAGGACCATACTTGCTACTGATGCATCAGATTCCCTCACAGCAGTTTTCTGCAGTTCTGGGCTCATGTAAACCCTGAACCTTATTTCAGTCTTTTACTCTAAGATTCATCCTACCTAGTTTTAAGTTTCCAATCATTATTTGGGAAGGAAAAAGTCACTTGCTGAGGCAATTAATCCATTTGAGAGGTATGAAAGCTGCCAATTTTTCTTAATTGACTGTAGAGGGAGCTGACTAGAAGCCAAAGAGGTAGCTGAAGACCCAGAAATCTAGGGTTTTTTGTGTTGGATTTTTTTTTTTGTATAATAGTATTTTTGACACTGAGCAGAATCAGGTCATGCCATCTTCTGTCATCTGTCCCGTTCTTTTATCTTTTGCCTCATTGGTGTTTTGTTTGGTGTTTTATTTTTGGTTTTTTAACGCTTCAGCTGGATTTCTTATACTCCCTAGTTTGCCAAACCAGCTATATATGGCTGCTTCTACAAATTGGGCTTAATTGGCCTTTCTTGTGAAGTGTCTATCATTATTTGTAATTTAATGGTGTATATTAAAACTGGCAAGGTCATACCCTTTTTCTGTTTAAAATCTTAACCATGATTTCCTGTCCTGACTTAGGACAGAAGGTTAAAACCTCGAAAGATGTTTGTGAACTGTAGATCTGTAAAGAGGGAAGAGTCTGATCACATCAGGTGATGTTTGTTTTGATAACTTAAAATTCCACACCCCCCCACCCCAATCTTTGGATCTTTAAAAGCATTTGTGTATAAACAGAGGAGGAATGAAAAATGTTGAACTTCTGTGAATGTTTTTAATCCTAAGTAAGATTAGACTTTCTAATAAAAATTAGTTTCATTAATTTGTCTTGCAAATTGCCTGGGAATAAACGGTAGGGGAGGTGTGGTAACTCGATGCTTGAATACTTAGTTGAAAATCTCATGACCGTTTGTGGTGACTAGAGGGCTTGATGAACGTGGGATGCTTATGTTTCTGCTGCTTGCAGGTTGATGGATACTTTAGGATCCCGTGGCAGGCTGCTCATTATCCTGTGGTTCAGTCTTTTCTAATAATACCATGACAAAATGAAGCAACTTCTTACACATTCATACAGTGTAAAATTACAGACCACATCTAATGTTTACACTGAAGGTTGTCTCAAGCTCCTCTTGCTTTTGTCTTGTTACTACAGTAGTGGGGGAGGACCACAGTCCGTAGTGTATTTCAGAGGGACATTGGGAAGATAGAATTACTACATTCCCTGCTTATTAGAGGAACTTAGATGGAGAGAAAAGGTTATTCCCAGGTTGAATACAGAAACCAGCATGAAGCAGACATTTATCTTGGGTTTTTTATATTTTATGCCCTAATCAAAATGCAGTGATACTGTTTACTTTGATCATTGGATTTTTTTTTCCTGTTTCTTATACTGATACATACTATGTATTTAGCCTCGTGAGAGATTATTTTTTGCCCCAGGCACTATATTATTTAAATAAACCAAACAGATGTAGAGTGGAAAAAAGGACTCTTGTTGTTCTTATTTTAACTAGGAATCTGAAACACAGTGACAGGAAGTGACTTGCCCAAGATTAAATAATATTTTTTCCTTAGAGCCACCTGGGAGAATTTCCAAGTCTGATTTGTAAATCATGAGACCATCCTGTGCACACTCCTCTTGATGTGGCCAGTAGTCTTTACGTTAAATCTGTTAGCTGTGCTTTGCATTTCTCTGAGTGCGGCTCAGAGTTTGTCCAGGGATCCCTGTTCTCTTAAGTGCCATGGGTGCTTACAAAAAAAACCTCAGTAGCAAGAGTGCCTTTTCACACACCACAAGTCTAATCTGTCATAGATAGTTGATGCTAACCGTTTCTCTAGGTTCTGTCCCCTGCCCCAGAATTACAACTGAAAACATTCTTTGAACATTATAAGATGAAATAGTCCATGGTATAAATTTGTGAAGTCAGTGGAATTACATCAGGGCTCAATGTAGTCCTGTTTTGTTGGTTAAACATCTGATGAGATAGCTTCATGACACATGCTTTCTTTTAATTAACTGTGATCAGAGGTGGGAGGGTGATGTGTCATAATGATGGTTATTCATGTGCTCTGTAGCAAAAATTGCCTCTAAGCCTATGTCATCTGTGGAAGATTTTCAATTTTTTAATGTGGTCTGCATGGCCTTGAGGTTATTATGAAAGCTTTTAAAATTCTAAATAGGTTTCAGACTTGCTTCTTTTTATTTTTTCCCCCTTTAGCTCATATAACGTAATTTCAAATATGCAATGATTCATATATATCGAATATATATTTCATACACATGAAACCATTTTTCTTAAACTAGAAAATTTTGGCCAGGTTTCTTAGACACTGTGTTCTGAAGGATGTACAATACATGTCTCTTTCCATAACCCCCTCATTGAGGTCCCACTTCACCCTTCTGAAAAGCAGGATTTCTACGTTTAAAAAACAAATGGGACCTGATGAGAAAATTTGCTACTTCTGAACATTGCTGGGGTCCATTTCAATATGCTTTGGGCTAGGGAAATATAGGCAGAATTACTTGGAGCCTTTTAATAGAATAATCTGAAATGAGTACATAGCAAAAATATGCAAACTTGGACTTTCAGCTAAGCCTACTATGACTCCTCCAGGTAGTCAGCCGTTAGTTCTGGCAGAAATTTTTTCCTGCAAACCCAGAGGGTCTCAGCTCAGATTTTTTGTTTTAACAGTACTTTTATGCACTGTAAGGTCTCCAGGTTTTGATGGTTTTGGGACTCTTCGGCGATGAAAGAAGGATGTTGTAAACCAGCAGTTCTGGAGTAAGAGATGTAGATTCTACGTATACTCTGACAAGGATGGATTGTAAATGGTTGCTATGCCATATTGCCAGTGTAGCAGGGAATACTGTTAGGATATCAATTTAGTGGGTTTTGAATTAAACAAGTCTGTTAAAAAATATAATCAATTGAGGCTGAAAGAAGAGTGCAATGGGTGGTTGGTGTCATTCTTTCCTGTGTTTGGGCTGAACCTGGGTGCACTCTTCTAATCAATTCCACTTGGTGTCAGGAGTTTGCCCTAGATTACTCCAGGATCTTGTTGGGATATCTGCATAATGCAGATGAGCTGGAACTTTGGCAATAAACACCTTTTGTATAAATACTGTGTCCTTGGACTACAGGAGTACTAAAAGCATGTTCTGAGCAGGCTGATCCAGACATTCAGAGGTGACTCGTATTAGCCATTTAGCATGATGGCCTAATATCTACTCATCTCAGATAAATCTAGCTTTTGAGCGGCGATTAGCTTTACTTGGAGTCTGCAGTAGGACCATGCCGGTGTCTAAATATTCACATAACATCAGGCTCTAAAATATAGCAGTCAGAATAAAAATCTGATGTAAATACTAGACAGAACTGTCTGGGAATGCTGATTTTGCACTACCTAGGTTTTAGTCATTAGTGAAGTGCGGCCTTTACTACTCTGCTACTTGTTGATGCAGTGGCCTCTCCTGACAGAATGCTAGTTCTGCTTCTGGTTTCATGATACAAAGGTTTTTGGTTTAAGAAGGCCTGTTTATGAACCTAGGGCTGATGAACTCTCTGCTATTCTGGCACAATTATTTGTGTCCCTATTCTATGACCTAGGTCAGGCCTTCTTCCCTTTTTCATTCTTTCTTTCTCTCCTAAAGCTCTGGGTTGGTTCACTGCTCTGGTTTGCACTGTGTCCCACAAACAGAAGTACCAGAACAACAGAGCAGTGGCATGCTACAGCTGTGAGGGCAGGAACAGCAGCTGGCATGATGAGAAAGAAGCAGTGGGGACTCCTTAGTTGATACTCTTCAAGTTCCTGAATCATGAAATTGCAGCTTTAGTGTAACTTTCTGCAGATCTGTCCTTATTTGTTCTATAAACAGTTTACAGACTGCATCTTGCTACCATCAGCAGTCTTTCATAACTCTTTTTCTTGTGCAAAAATGTAAAGCCAGCTTTAGTAGTCAAAAATAAGTGTTAGTGCATTTTTTTTAAAGAGGTCATCTTTACAATTCTCTTGGTACCCTCTGAGTTCTTTGTGGAATTGTCACCAAGTCAAGGCATGAAGTAGTGTGGTCAGTAGTAGAGGAGGGTGGGGCACGATGGTGTTGCTGCTGGAAAACAGTTATATTTCAATTACCAGAGCATAAGATGTTCTTTATTGTAAGCCCCATACAGATATTTACAGGACAGTTATCTGCAGACTAATTTGATAAGGCTTAACAGTTGTGATAGTGGAAAGAATGAGTGAGGCAGGACAATGATGAAAATACTGCATTCACACATCTAGTTATATACACAAGCTATATACACCGCTGAGTGTAAGAGGTGATTTTCGGACCTCCTAGAATTGTAAGTATGTTGGCTTTGTTGACTTTATTTTTACCCTGAGAAATAGCCTTAGTTGTGAAACTTTCTACTCTTTTCTTTCCCACTATCTAAATATATTTTCCTCTCTTCCTTTTTAATATACTTTGCCATGCAATTCCTTTACTTCACTAGCATGGTCTAGTTGATTCAAATGGATAGTCATCTGTCTTCCCAAGATGAAGAATTGTGGGCCATTTTTGACCTACCCTGTATTTTTTTTCTCTATGTATAGGCCATTACTATCTGGCCAACTCCTTAGTGAATTGGCCAAAACAATCCTTAATGTTTGGGTTGGGAAAAATGAGTTAGCTTTTTTCATTGACAAGGAAAAAGCAAGAAAAGGTGAGATTGTACCTTTTCTTCCTTCTTACCCCTTATGTTTTCCTTTCTTTCTTTAACATTCTGTATAAATTTTAAGACTGACTTACTGATCATACTAATCAAAAATGCCTGAATGTTTTATTTCTTTACTAAAAGTGAGGTCTGGGATTGTACATGAGTCACTTAAACCAATTTTAATTACATACTTTTTATTTTTAGTCATCTGTTTGGTTTTGAGACCCTAATTTTTAGGACAGATATTAATTATATTCATAAAACAAAAAAGCTTCTTTTCAGTGTTCAGTACAATATGCTATCATGAAATGAAATACTTCTGGAAATTTTTTGACTGCTTATGTTCCTGTTATTACATAATGACTCCTGTGAGGAATACAGATGATATTTCATGCTGCTAATCATTGTTTTTCAGAAACTGAAGGAATCCAATTGGAAATTTGTCGAAGAACTCCTTAAAAAATCCACTGATGCTCAAGTAAGTGTGTAAGGGAAGAAATAATGAACAAGAATCATGTCAGGGATGCTTTCAGGAAAAGACAGTGCATGAAACAAAATCTGGCTAACAAGTATATTTTTGGAATTCTAGTGTTTTTATCAGTGGTAAATGAACATCCTTGACGTAGCTGAACTATGGCAGTATACAGTTCCCTCCTTGTTAGTAGTTGTGCTTGATGCTAAATTGTCAGATAAAGGAAAAAGATAATTATCCTGGAAGGGTAGGTATATGGCTACTCAGACAAGTTGTATTCAGAATAAGAACTGGATGCTTAGAAAATGTAAACCAGATACTGAATGTAAGGATATCAAGTTGAGGAGACATGATGAAGGAGATAGTCAGTTGCATTGAAAATTCAGCTATATCCTCATCACAGCAGGAAGGTGACTTGCCTTGCTGAGCAATTTGTCTTACAGGCTTGAATCAAACTCTTACTGATAAGGTTCTAGTTTCTGAGTACTCATTTCATACCTTATCATTTTTCTTTCTGCAGAACTGTTAATGCAATGCTTCATGGCCCAGAGGTCAGAACTGACCTCCTTTTAAAGTGCTTTTAAATATGCTGTTCATCACGTTTTTAAATATGTTACGTTGCAGCTATGTACATTTGTTCTGAAGTTGCATGGTAAAATTGCAAATGCTGTATCGGCAACACCTATAAAAATAGTTTCTTTAATTTGTGTATGCTTAAGATGAGAATAAACATGTTTGGTTTTTTTATTTGCTCTCAGATGAAATAAAATCTTGTAAAGCTCTGTTGTTGAAAGCAGAAGAGGAATCAGTTGGGTTTTTTTATTATTACTGCCTTGCTCATGCAGTAGCAACAGCTGTGGCTGAAGATGGAGTATGGAACAATACTTGTTACAACTACAGTTTTTACAAAAAGATATTTTGTAGTTAGTATAGTTGAAATAATAAATAATTAAGAAGTTGGACAATCAAGCTATACTTAAGCTTTTTGAATGATTTCACAGTGTATAAATGAATACACACAGTGCATATACATTAAAACTACACTGATGACATCACTTGCGGGGTACTTCCCATTCTGTGAGAGGAACTGGAGAGATAGAGATGAGACGAGGCATAAGAGCCAAGTAGCTTATTAGCTGCCTTCCTGTGTTGCATCTTCTGTATGTCAGCAACCTTGAAAGGAGTAAGAAGACATTTGTAGTTACATTTTTCTTCACAATATTCCTTTTTTCTTTTGAACGTTTATTATTTTGAATAAAGATTACTCTGATGTTGAATGTACATAAAAGGTACAGCTTTTTGATGCTTCTGTTAAACGAGTATTGAATTGTAGACGGTTTAGAAAGGCAGCTAGGTGGCCAAATTCAGAAGGTTTGAATAATGAGTCAATAATGATGCAGTAAGATAAGGCAAATAATCTGTTTTAATTTTCGAAAGCAAGCACTGTTGATATTAAACCCACACTTGCCAAGGATATGTTTGCAACTATTGTTAACCAGCTAAGGAGCTGTCTAGTTTATTTCCTTTTTTTTTTTAATTGCTTTTTCTTGCATTATGGAGTTAGCTGCCTGTAGGAAATGCCTCTTGAAGAGCATTAGTCTCTATATATGACTGCACAAGTGCATGCATATGCTTTTATTAAAAGATGCATCTTGCTTCCTATCCCTGCACACAAGCCTTCTTGACAGTGTCTAGGAAGGAGATTTTCTTTTACCAGTAGGCATGTCCATTTCCTCTGATCTGCCACCTTCACGTGGCCACTCGTGCCTTTTATCTTATCCTTTTGTATCTCTAAGTGAGTATTTTTTAGACCAAAAAATGCAAATGGGAATGAAAAGCACAATGAGATATCAAGAAGTCAATAATGAAATGGAACATGGAGAAGCAGGAAAAAAGGAAAAGGGAGAATAGTACTCTTTGAATGAACAACAGGACAGAGTTGATGATATTGCCTCCTAACACTTGGCCTGAGTTTGTTAGTAAATCCTACCTGAGCCATCCTTTTCAGCATATACCCTCTGTCTATACTAGAGATGCACAGTAATAGCTGTGCAAAATGTTAGAAGAAATGATAGTGCCAAATCACCCATTTGCAAGAGAGGGTAGAAACTGGTGGTTAGAAACTTCATTTTTAAGTATATGAAAGCTTAAAAACTCATCATACTTAGTGCATAGTCTGTCCGTCAGCCTCATAATCTACTTGTGCTTGTTGTTCCCTAACTTCAAAAGCTGGTAGACTATACATGTTCAGATGGAGAAGGGGAATATACAGGGGGGGGGATATGAAATCAAGTATGCATAAGTTTGCATGTTCAAAAGTATCTGAAAAGCGTACAAATCATATATTTCTAATGTAAATCATACCTCTGTAATGTAAATTGATAATCTCTCTCCTACCAGTAACTATTAATTTCTCCTCATGTGATCTTCAATTTCTAGGTAGTTGAAAAGATTATTTTAGGCACTGTTGTAGACATGGATTTTGAGGGTGAGGGAGCATCATGAAAGTAGATTAAAAGAATGTTCATCTTTGATGAATCAGCAGAAGCTGGAGTTAGCTTTAACATTATTAGGACACCTAAGTACCAGGATGCAAAAGTGACATAAAAAGCATAACAAAATGCTGCAGTTTTTTGTAGTTTCAGTAGAACTGGTGAGTTTAATGATCCCCAGCAGAGAGGGTAACCCTCATGCAGGCAGCAGAGAGTCTGAGCCACCTTTATCCAGTCTATGCCTGATTTTTTGGGGGTGATTAAAAACTTCGAGAAAGCTGTCCCATGTCCAGGTGAAGTGGCAGAGGGGTGATGCAGTACTCTGTCTCCAGGTAGGAACTCCTTCTTTATGAGGTTATACTTGGCCTGCTTCTGAGCAAGGAGATGATGTAAGGTGCTGTTAAGGTTAGGGGACAAATGGAGATGGGAAGCAAAAATACTGTATTTGTGAGCTGTAAATAAAGGTAGGAGCAGTAATGGCTGGGCAATTGTAGAGTACTGCTTCCTTGGATATATCCTTTCACCTTCAAACAGTTGACAGACTTGTGAATTTCTCAGCCAGAAACTGCACCTTTTTTTTTTAATAATTCTTGATGGATAGAGTTGAAGACAATTGCTTGTGTGAAGGATCTCCCATTTGTATCACAAAAATGGACATTTATGGGGAAACTACTTACATGGGGTATTGCCTACATCTGTTGTAATTTGGATTTCTGTTACTGGGCTAATGACAAAAGTAGAGCTAGTTTACAATGCTATTTCTACTACAAAATGAAAATTGTTATACTAGGAATATTAACATAGCTGTATTTGTATACTAGGCAACATCAAACTGACTAAATTTATGGATTGTCACTATAAGATGAATTTGTGTTTACGAAGTTTTATTGTGAGAATCAAAAGATGTTTTGTTCATGAGAGCTAATAGTCTGTCTGACTAGTGTTCTCTCATTTCAGAAAATAAATGCTTCATGTTGTTTCATTTCTGCTTCAATTTTGTTATACCTTCACTATATTTTTAATTCTACTATAAAAGAGATACAGAAATATTTGTTGGAGTTCTAGGAAACCAATTTTGTTACTGCAGTAGGAGGTCATAAGAGAAAAATGTTGTGTTTAGATAGTACTATCATTTTGATAGTATCTGGTATTCCTCCCTTCTGCGATAAATTAAAAGCTGAGTTCTGATAGTATTTCCAGCAGTGCAAGAGACCATTTTAAGCAAAAGAGCAATGAGAGAATCCATTAATCCCAGGGATATTTGAAGTCTGGAGAACTCTTCATATTAAATTTGAGATAAAGCTTTCAGTACTATCTTGGTTTTGGAAACTGTTCCGAAACTATTGTTGGATAGATAAATAATGTTTGAAATTGAAGCTACTTACAATACCATGTATATTGTTGAATTAATTTAACTAATGCAGTCATTGTTTTCTGAATTAGATGCTAAATATAATCCTATACACAAATGACAGTTTTAAGATTAAGCATTCCCTTTGTAAAGGGTGTGTGTTTTGGGTTATGTTTTTTTACATCTTTCATAACTGAGTAGATATCTCTAGAGAAACAGATATACTTAGCTGTAGCTTCTTGTTTTATATCAAGCCTCTTGCTTTTATTCATTAAAAAAAAGCAGCTGTTGAAAATGGTTCTATCCTTTGATTTTTTTGTATAAGATTGTTAATTTGGGAAGACTAGTAATTTAATAGCTACAGTTATGTCATATATAAAAACAATACTTGAGGATCACCTTTCATTTGTGGGCATTTTTGTTAAATTTGAACTATTTTTTTACATCTTTTAATGACCCTTTCTTGAAGAGGTTCCTTTGTATTTCAGTGCTTTTCATATATTGTTATACATAATGTCTTCAATATATAATTTTATGACAACTGAAAATGCCTTTTCAATTTTCAAGTTGTTTTAGAAATATACCACTTCTGAAGCCATATGCTGTGCATTAATTGTTCATGAGAAGGCAGACATGATTAGAAGTTATTGAAGATGATTTGTGTAATTGTTTACAGCGTTCTGATAAAGTTCAGGAAATAATGTTTTCCATGTCAATGTATAGCCAGGTATAGATAAGTTCATGAGTTGTAACTCCTTTGTATAATGTCTAAAACAGGGGAAAAAAAAAAAAAGCGGCTCTAAGACATTAAACCACATTGTGGGTAAGAGCAGAAGTCCTACTCTTCCAGTAACAGGTACTTAATGAAAGACTATTTTAAAACAACAACAATAAACGAACAAACCCCCCAACAAACCCCAGTGTTATCTTTTTCTGTCACCTGACATCAGTGATCTTTTTTTATCTTATTTTTGTTCCGAGCTGGATGAGCTTGAGACATAATTCAGGACCTAGCACTGTAATTGAAACTTATTGGGAAAACTTCCCAATATTTGAGGCATGACTTCCTTCATTCCCCTTCCTGGGGCTATGATTTTGGATCATAAAACATCCTGTAGGTTTTTATTTTTCTTACCCGTTTTATTCCTCTTTAGCTTGCTTTATGCTGTTAGAAATTCCAGGCCTGTATAGTGTTTAGATGTATTTTGAAAGCTAAGAGTAGGTCAGGTATTTCTACTGTCGCAGAGCAAGTTTGCTACTATCCCAGACGTGTTAGACTTACATGTGTAAAAGTCTTCCCTTAAGACAACTACACACAAGCTGGTCTGCCAAACTACTTTTATAGTCAGTGGAGACAATAAAGCCTTTTGGGCTTATCATCCTATACTTTACCATCCTAAAGTAGATGCCTAAAACAGGCTGAATTAGGCACGTGATTTCAGTCTGAGCATAGAGCTCCTGGTATCTGACCTCTGATGCCAGTCCAGTTTTGCTGACATCAAAAGCTGGCTGTGGGAAATCTCACTCTTGGTATCCCATAATTACAAACTGAATGCTTCACTGTGTTCAAATTGTTTGGAATTTTCTTTCCTATGACCCTTCTTCCTTTTGTGTGCAAAATTTGGAACTGATGAATAAAAACAAGTGGTATGGGAATTTTTTTGTCCATGTCTGCGTCATGTTTTGTGTGTTGTCTGTCCATCCCAGCCTCCCCCCGCCCCCCATGTTCAGAGACTTATTTACCCTTGATTTAGAGTTGTCTGGGATGTTAATGTTAGCAGTATAGCCATGTTGCAGAGGTTTGAGAAGGAACATGACTCAAAAAGAAAAGACCCTTCTGCTTGGAATATTATAAAGAGAAGCATGAGGTCTCAGAGTTGCACCTTCTCTCTGTATCGGTGGTGAATAATGAGTCTGCATTCAGCTGACTCATGCATACATCCCAGCTAATGTCCCATTTACTAGTTTTGTGAGGTCCTGTACCGTGGGGTCATCTTTCAAGTTAGGCTCCATATTGGGTTGATTGTTATCTTAATGTATCTACAATTCTGAACACCTGAAGTCGTGCATGATAATGGCTGGATTGCAGGATGCAATTGTCAGCTTTTATCTTCTAGTTCATTGCTCACATTAGCAGAAGCATTTGCTCAACTTTCTATAATTAAAAATAACTTTTATATTAGGAAATTATTCTTAATAGTCTGGTAGTATTGGGTTTGTGGGTAGACAAGGTGATGCTCCCCTCCTACAATAATCTTCTTATTCCCTTTTCAAGACTGGTGTGTTAGAGGAACACTTACGAATGCATCTTCAGTGTTGTTTGACCTTGTGTAGTTTCTGGGACGTGAACGTATCTATTGCCAGCATACTCTGGGATTATTACAGCAAGAACCTGGTAAGTGGATGAATATATAAAAATGTAGAATTACATGTGGACAGTCCTCGACTTTTAGCAGTTAGTTCTGATTCTCCTTTAGCCAAGCTTGGTTGCTATACTTTTGCAAAACTGACTAGTCAATGGCAGTACCCCTAAACTTGCTATATTTATTTAAGAAATCATGTTTAAATATATGTTATGGTCCATTACATTATGTCACAATAGAATGAATTATAATATATTTTACTCCTATTTTTCATCAGGGCTACTGATTTTAAGATCTTGTAAAAATATTTTGCACAGAGTTACAATGCATTTTTTGAGTTGTGGTAGGAATGTATCCTTTGTGTGAAGGATTGCATCTTGTTGCCTTTGGAATATTAGCATTTGTTGTACTTATAATGTTTTCTGTTTGCATTTATTCTTTTAGAACAGTTGCTTTACTGTTCCTTGGCTTGGTCTGAAGGGTCTGGCAAATGTTAGTAAAACTTCTTTGTCAATGCTTGAGCTGGTGAAAAGTTGCTGTTGTGAACAGCAGATCCCCGCCCTGTACAAGTCCAGCAACAGTTACTTCATTTTTCTCAGCATTTTGGCACGGATGATGAAAGAAGCACAGAACAGTGGCGTGCATCCTTGGAAACAAATTAAAGGACGGTATGGCCGCTACTTAGTTTGTCTCATGTTGCGAGAGGTCTAATCAGTCAGACTGCGTGGCCCTTCCAGCCACATACCAAAGCAAGGCGGGGGTGCTGTTCTCATGAGGATGAAGGATCCAGGGGGATTCATAATTTGAAGAAAGCAGTTGTTCACTGAGGTTTCTGTTGCCAGCTGAGGCTGTGACAGGGTCCAAGAGCTGGGTCCAAGAATCACCTTGGCATCCGTAGCTTTGTGATGATTTACTTTGTCCCACAGGCCAGGAATTTGGTACACTGGCAACCTATTCAGTGGTACAGCCCTATTGCCAGACAGCTGATGTAATTAAAGCACAGAAATTCTGTTTGAGCTGCATGTAAGCCATGTGTTGTCCAAGAACATGCAGACTGCCTCTTGCTAGGCCTGCAATTTCATTTATATTTCCATTTTCTTCTTCATGGTTTTCAAAATTTTTCACAGTATATTTTTTGTGAGGGCTTTAATTTTACATTTAATTTTAAAACATACTAATTTACATATGTTCACTCATAATATAAAAAGCCCTTAAAATATATATTCTGTAAATCAGAATCCTGACGTTTTATATACTTACTGAAGAGTAATGAGAGTGTACTGATTATTAGAAGTGTTAACTTTTTATTTTGTTTCCATTGGATATAGAAAACTTAATTAGTTTTGAGTTCTTGGGTTGAGTTTTAAAAGATTTTAAGTATTATAAAATACTCTTATATGCAAGTAATAAATATATAAAAATGCACATGTGTATGCACACCTTACAAAGTTATGTGGTATGTTTCTTCCAAGAAAGAAGAGTTATCTTGGCTATCAGAAAGGGAAAATACACCTAGTGTCTAAATACACTTCACAAGTTGTTACAGTCAGTAAAGTTGGATTTAAGAATCACTACAACTACTTAGAAACAAATATATTGTTGGATGGTGAATCAGTGTCTTGTTTAAGTTAGTAATTTTAATTAGCCTGCTCCATTTTTACTGAAAACAAATTATACTTACATTTTTGTGCTATTATAGCTTGTTACTTTGCCTAATTTAAGAGGGGGAATAATGATACACAACACACACTGTGTCAGTCTGCTCAACCAGTATTCATCTTTTCTACCTTGAATAAATCAATTACACAAGTAGCAAAATTTAACAGCCTACAGCTATGATTTTGGGATGAACTCTGTTTTCAGCAGCTAACCAAGCATTAATTGATGCATGAAGAACGTAAATGCCTGTCAGTAGTAATTTACTACTAAACAACATTAATTGGATTTGCTGTAAATTTTGGTGGCTAGATTTGATAACCTCAGCACCATTTCCAACTATTTTTCCAGGTGACAGAATCGGAAAACAGCATTTATGGATGCTTAGCTACTGTATGTGGAACTTGCTTTCATTTAAACATGAAGGATATACCCAAAGTTTTCAATGCACAAATCATTTTATTCCTCTGTCATAGAAATGGTGACATTTATTTAAAAGTCATGATCTGAGCAAAGGTCACAGAAGAGACACCTCTGTAAAAACTTTCTTCTTTTTGTGAGCCTTTTTAAAGTTGCAGAATAGCAGTGCTTCTCACCATCAGCTACATATGACTTGAGCACTATATAAGCAATACAGCTTAAAGTTTCTTAACATCTTCCTGCTAGAGAGAGGTTTCTCTCCCAAATGCCTGTTTTCTCCCAGACATGTAGTCTGCAGTGCATACAGTAGATGTGCAATACAGGTCAATACAGACTTTGGCAAAGCACTGTGGAGAAAAGGAGCTTTCCACCAGAAATCTTCCTCTCCCTTTTACTGCAGCGATGGTTAAGGAGGTGAGCCTTTGATCACAGCAGCTGTGGCAGTTTTTTTTTTTTTTTTTTTTTCTCCTTTGTGCCACAAGGAAATAATGACGTTTCTAGGGAAGAAGTTGCGGTACAGGAATTATTTGTTGTGGTGAAGAGATGCCATTTGGCAGCATCCTTTCCTAGCAGCTCTCATGGGTTAAATTTGATTGATGTGAAGGCATGGTATTGAGGACACCTATCACAGCCAGAGCAGAGAGAGTCTGCTCATAACATTGTGCTCAACTTTGTGCTACATGTTGTATAAGAACAAAGGGCTAGGCTGTGCCTGGGGTTGAAGGCTCTTAATGTGTACCATGTGTTACGATCAGAAAATGGAATGGCGTGTTTGTTCCAATATCCAAAAGAGTAGAAGAGTGGAGAGGATAATCAAAATTTAAGGGTTATTAGAAGAGGATAATTATAACCTAAAAGCATGAAAATACCATTTCATTCTATGAAGCAGGTAGAAAATTGCATACTTTAAGAAACTCTCCTGATTTTAGGGTTTGTTTTATTAATGTAGAATCTATTCCAAGTTCCATCGGAGAAGAATGCAGGAGCTGACAGAAGTGGGACTGCAGAACTTTTTTAACCTGTTCCTCATGCTGGCAATTGTTGCAGAGACAGAAGATATAGTGAGTCGAGTGTTGGATCTTTTGGATTTTCGGACTCTGTCCTCTGTCACTGTGTCTCAGAGAGCTCTCATCTGGAGAGGTCATTTTGCTTTCCTTTTGATTTATGTTGAGAAGAACATGGACATTAGCGTCCTAGCTGAGAAACTCTCAAATGCTTTCCGTGAGAAGGCAAAGGACTTTCTAGTAACCAAAAATGACTACACACAGAAACAAGATCTCTGGACTCTAATTGCAACCTACATTGATGGTGTCCAAGAAGTATTTGAGACCAGCTGCTACTTGAGCCTTTCTGAGGAAAAGTTGCTAAACGATGGCTTTACTATGCTGCTGCCTGCTTGTCGAGGAGCTGAACTGAGTATGGTCCTAAATTTTCTTCAGGTTGTTCTAGCCAGGCTTCGGTAAGTTATTTTGTTACGTTATAGATGTAGACTGATACCTTGATTTTGTGTTTAGGGCTAAAATGTAGTTCATATTAATTTCGTACTGAAAGAGTAAAAGGAAAGAGAAATCTCTGGAGGGCTGTGAATGATACATTAAATTTCAAAATCCACCAATAACCTTCCTGCATTTAGAATTTTAGAAATGTTTCCTTAATATTTCAGGACATTAGGTTTGACATCCCTGATACTTTATTATGAATTAGTGGCTCTGTAGAAAGTCATCCAGTTGCTCCTATTTCAGACAATACCATCTTTCTTTTGGCACAGGAAATGTCAAAATTATTATCTGTACAAAATTACTTAAGTTGGGGGTTTTGGTGTTTGCGTTTTTTTCTTCAGTGAATCTATTCTATTCTAATTTTTAAATTCTTTATTCTATTTTTTTCTCTTTCACCAAGGTTGCAATCAAATGCAATGGTTATAGAGATTTAAATACTTGTCTGGGGTTCGATAAGAAAGAAGGAAAGCATATTTTACCACTTTCAAGCAGTATTTCTTTGATGTGTTAGTTCGGTTTTCAACATCCACAGTGCCCTTCAATAAGCATATTTTTGTCTAGTGATGCCTTTTTTTTTTTTTTTTTTTTTTTAAGATATTAAGAGGCAGCTATTGATCTGCCATTACTTCAAATGTGCAAGACTGAAATACGTGGAAAGAGCTGTGGAAGAGTGCATAATAGAAACAGTGAGGCCCATATGCAAGATCTCTCTTTAACTAGGTTCTTTGTTATTGTCTAGTAGTTTGACTGCAGCTGTCAATAGCTTATACATCCAAAGACAACTGTTTTTCAGGCAGTCTTTTGAAAAAAGATGAAGCACAAAACTAAGTTAGTTGATTTATTATTTATTATTTCAGTTCAACTGAATGTATTTACTGGAATAAATTGGAGACTTCAAAAATACTTTGACATTTTCTCCATTAGCTAATACACAGCATTTTTTGTGTTGTTTTTAAAGATGAAATAGGGAGAAATTTAGGGTGAAAAAGTTGCCTATTTCATAACTTCGTATTATTTTGAAGTGCTTGTGAACAGGAGTTATGTGGGCCTCTTGTATCAGAGAGGATGGCATAGAAGTTCATTACAGACTTCTAAGGAACAAACAGACTTCTAAGGAACAAACTATTGGAACAAACAGACAAAGGTACAGGATGGTATTCGTACCTTTTCTAACAAAAAGCAGGTCTGAAATATTTGAATCACCAACACACTCAAAAATTAATTGGCATGAGAGCGCCTTGTTTTTAACAGCTCTTTATTTCAGCTTCTTTATTTATACATTTGATTACTTGTTACGTGCCTACTTATCCCATCTATGGACAAGTTTAATTCCTCGGTGTTCACAAAATGCTTTGATCTTCAGATTGTATGGAACAGGAAAATGTTACTGGTTGTCTGTCTGACTTTAACAGACTCACTGAAAACAGTCCTCTGATACCATACAAGTAAAACAACACTAAACTCACTTTCTTGGTTCAGAAGATTTGGATGGCTTTGTGCCAACTAAATAAATGTTAAACTGTTACTGGCTTAACCAGACCGATTAGGACTAGTCTGTCCACGAACATGGAAAAGGATGAAATGGTTCGATGCCTTTCTCTCTCCTGTTTTTAAAATCCGGGCAGATGTAAGGTAGTAGGCCTTTCATAAATGTAATTTTTCTGTAGGCTGCACTCTAATAATTTTATAACTGTATGACAGAGAATTTACAGGTAGGAAGGAAGTGAGATCACTGATTAAAGAGAGAAGCGGCTCCCTCTAGGCTGTTAGGAAATAATAACTTCATGTGCCACTTTCTGCTAACCCCAGATGATGGCTCACAGGAGCATTCTTTATTGCTGATTAAGTAGCATTATGAAAATACTGACTTGGTTACGTTAACTAAACACCTCAGTATTTAAAGCTTAAAATGTCAAATAGTTTTAGCAGTCCCCTTTAACATATCTTGTTGGATTTCTAGAATCTCATTCCAGGTTTCCCAGTTGCTTTTATTTGAGGATACTGTAAAAATGGCAATCTTTCATTTGCAGAGTGAGGTGTAGCCAAAAGCTGCTCTTTAATTATAGCTATTCATGCTGCTATGGTTAAGGGTCTGTCAGCATTTCCATTATAAACCTTTATTTTCAAGGGTTTGTAACACAGCAGTGAAAACTTGCTCTGGGCTAAAACTTGGCATACAAGGTTTTGAAAGTGCGCTTGTTTTCTTCCTTTCTTTTTTCTTAAAAGGCATCTGAAAAGAGACCCCCACCTTCACCATTTTTATACTGCTCTGTTTTAAAATAACCCCTTCCAGGTTTTTCTTGTATTTTTCTTGTCTGCTAGAAAAGTACTGGTAGCTTTTGATTATTGTATTTACCAATGTTTAGACTATGTTTTAAACAACATTTTTTGTTATTATGATTATTTTGGTGTTCATATATTTAGATACAACTATGACTTGGCAGGAGAACTCATTTTTATAAGTTTTTGATATGTGGTGAGTGGATAATTGGAAACAAGATGCTACTTGCTGGCACTTCCCATTATTTGATCTTCATAGCGAGATTCAGTGTGAAGTGTAAGATTGTATTTTAGTACAGTCTCCTCTTTAAAAACATGTAAAATAAACAGTAAACAATCAAGAAACTCCCCAAAATGGAGAGTGCTTCCTTCCTGTGTTTACATTCAGCTTCTAGCTCAGACATAAGTTTTTCCTTTATTTTTTGTCTCTAAGCAGTGTTTTAGAATCCTGATTTTTTTTTTTTTTTTTATTCCTTAGTGAAAGGTAAATGCAGGAGAGTTGCTTATGTGTGCTTTCATTTGTTCCAAATCTCTAGCACTGTGTGTCCTCTGAGTGCCTCATGACACAAAAAGTACCTCTAGGTTAATAAAAATACAGGCATTTAATGGATTTGACAGAACTCCCTGTAAAAATGGACATAGACTCGGAGAAATCTGCTGAATGCCTAGAAACAGTAGGTTCCAGCATTCAATATGTTATTCTTAAAAGAAGTGCTTGAAACATGTTAAAATATCTTTTATCATAATCAGGTATTGCTCTGACATGAGCTTTCTCTTATTATCGTCATCCTGGCATTTGGGTTTTGTAGTGTATTAGCACTGAGTTACAGGATTATAAAATGCAAATACATGCCCGGGTGTAAAATCACTGCTGTACTCCAAACATCTTTGCCTAGTTTCAGGGAGACTTACTACTGGTTCCCATAGGAGAAATGACAAACCTAATAACATAATAACTGTTAATTTTATTTTGAAAACAATTTTTGAGTATTTCTGACTGTTTGGTACTGTTCTAACAGTGTTGAAGGACATGAAAAACTCTTGAAAATTTCAGTGTGTAAATTTCATAAGCTCTACACGAATACTAATCAAGTAAACCTGTCTCTAATTAAAAGTTACATTAATAATTGGGCTATGGATAACAGCAGAACTGGATGTTTCTATCTGTTAGAGTGTGTCTAGCCTTGAGGTTGTGAGAAAAATCACGATAAGAATGGATTATCCAGTATATCTTTGCTATGGAAATGTATAGTCATTTGTAATTTTTTTTTTGTGCTATACTTGCCATCAAAACAGCCTGTGGGAAGCTTTCTGAGACCAACAGAAGCCTCTCTTCCCCTCTCTGTTAGCATGTAAGTCAGCAGATAAGCTCAGGAGGAGAATAGAAAGGTCCTTCCTCCTTCTTTTCTTCCCCCTCAGGGGTTTTAGTGTTAGTCTTTGTAAAATGTATTTTCTGATGTTGAACTTCTGAAAACTGTACCCAGAAGAGTTTGGAAGAGCAGAGTCTTCTCTTACCCATTCCATCCCATCCCATCCCATGAGTATATTTAGAGCTGCCAGTTGTGATGAAGGCAACTCTTAACTATCATAAACCACTGAACTGAGAGTCAGAAGATCATAGCTTGGCTCTAAGATCTCCCACATTTAATGAATGACCATTAGAAAGTCATTAAAAGTTGCTGTGAACTTTGTTACCTGTGTGGAAAAAGGAAGTCAGTCTTTCCTTATTGACTTCACAACATAAATCTTACGCAAGGCAAGCAAGTGTGCCTTGCTGTCCTAACTTGACCTATAGTTTAAAATATTTTTAGGGCTTTTTTTTAAAGTTCAGTTATTCCATTAACAGAACTGAGGTTTGAATGACTGTAAACAAAATCTTGTCTCTAAGTCCTTTAGAGCATGGGAAGCAAGCACTGCTTTAGAATATAGCAGCATTTTGAGAGGTTTGCTGTGCCTAAATCCTTAAAAGTAATGTTACCATCTTCTGTGGGAATACTGGATGTGTTCTTAGCTACAGTTGTTTGCCTTAAGGTGTGGCTCTGGTAATTAAAACTGAATTTATTTCTTATTCCTCCTCCTTTATGTGGGCTTTGAGATGTAATTTTTTTTTCAGGATTTTTTTTTGGTCTAAAATAATGTTTTATACCTTTATCCCTTGTATTCTGATCTTCAAAGATAATTAGTGAAAATCAACATGTGTTTTCGTTGTGTGTCCTCTGCTCTGAGAGTATTACTATACAAAGGAATGAAATGAGATACAGTGTACACTGGAGCTGTGTACCTAATATTTTGCTTGTAGAAAGTTCCAGTGTATATCTAGCATTGGTTCAGGTTTGCAAGAATCTTCACATCCACTTCTCACTGTCCATTTTCTTGAATCAGTTGGCGGCCATGTGAAAGCTGAGTAATTGATTAAAATCAATTTCACATTGGTGTTTAAGATGTAATAGAGAGCATCTGCCTTAGAAGGAGGACAACAAAGCTGGTGACAGGGCTGGAAGGAATGTTCTGTGAGAAGTGGATGAGGACTTTAGGCTTGTCTAGTTTGGAGAACAGGAGGCTGAGGGGCAACCTCATTGCTTTCTACAGCTTCCTGAGGAGGGGAAGTGGAGAGGAAGGTGCTGAACTCTTCTCCCTGGTGTCCAGTGACAGGACACGTGGGAATGGTTCAAAGCTACAC